AAACAACTTTGCAGTCTGAGGCATTAGCCCACACAGGACTCTTCTCTCTATTTATCATGATACTACTAATCAATGGTCCAGTGATGAGGATTTTTGTTTTCTTTACAATGAGGTGTAACTCATTCTGGAGGCTGAGGTCTTCATCTTCATCAGTATTTTAAGTCCTCTTCACTTTCAGCAAGCAAGGTTGTATCATCTACATATTACACGTTGTTAATGAGTCTTGTTCCAATCTTAATGCTATTTTCTTCATATAATTCAGCTTCTAGGATTATTAGCTCAGCATACAGATTGAATAAGTACAGTGAAAGGATACAATCCTGGTGTACACCTTTCCTGATTTTAAACCATTCAAGTGTACCCTTGTTCTGATTGAATGACTTCTCTCTTGGTCTATGTAAAGGTTCCTCATGAGCACAATTAAGTGTTCAGGAATACTCATTCTCCAACAGTATTGTCCATAGCTTGGTATGATCCACATAATTGAAAGCCTTTGTGTAATCAATAAAGTACAGGTAAACATCTTTCTGGTATTCTCTGCTTTCAGCCAAGATCCACCTGAAGTCAGCAGTGATATTCCTTGTTCCACATCTCATCTGAAACAGGCTTGAATCTCTGGCAGGTTCCTGTCAAATGCACTGTTGCAGCTGTTTTTAAATTTTCTTCAGTAAAATTTTACTTGCATGTGACATTAATGTACTGTCAGATGATTTCGCATTCTGTTTGGTCACTTCTCTTTAGAATGGACACCGATATAGATCTCTTTAAATTAGTTGGCCAGGTAAACTATCTTCCAAATTTTTTGGCATAGATGAGTGCCTCCAGTGCTGCATCAGTTTGCTGAAATATTTCAATTAGAATTCCATCTATTTCTGGTGCCTTGTCTTTTGCCAATGCCTTCAGTACACTTTGGACTTCTTCCTTTAGTACCACTGGCTCTTGATCGTATGCTACCTCATGAAATGGTTGAACATCAACCATTTATTTTTGGTATTTTGATTTTGTGTATTCCTTCTCCATTTTCTTTTGATGCAACCCACAACATTCAACACCCTTTCCCCACAGAATCCTTTAGTATTGCAAATCGAGGCTTGAATTACCTTTTGAAATTTTCTGTTCAGTTTTTTTTTTTTACCTCCTTTCATCCATTTGCTTTAGCATCTCTACGCTGGAGAGCAGGTTTTAGAGTCTCTTCTGATATCTATTTTGTTCTTTTTCTCCTTAAGGACCTTTTGCTTTCTTCCTATATGATGTCCTTGATTTCAACCCACAACTCTCTGGTCTTCATTAAATGAACTGGCAGAGAGTGGTTATGATAGCAGTTTAGTTTTACAATCTAAATCTGGAATTCATGTATTTTTTTAGTTACAGTTAAGAATTTTACAACTGTGATCTACCTTTATATCTTGTTACAAATTTGCAAAGAAAACTAGCAGAAATCTTAAGAAAAACTGTTCAAGAAGTGAAAACTTAATTTAGAACTAAAGGTGAAGAACAGAGGTTTGAGATCCATACATATTAAAACTCAAATTTAAAATTTTACCATGTGGAGGTAAAATTTAGAAAATCATCATGATGTCATCTATGATTTCCTTTACCCATGCCATCTATGTTTGTCTTTTTCTTGTGCTTATTCCTTTTTAAGAGTAATAAAGTACCTGGTATGGCACTATGGATAATCATTGAACTGATAGCTGTTAAGTTCGGTGGTTCAAACCCACCAGCCACACCTCAGAAACCCCTATACAAGGTCATTATGAGTCAGAACTGACCTGACAGCACTTAAGTAACAACAGCAACATGGTATTTATATGTTCACAGATGGGGCCTCTTTTTTCTTCTGTAACAACCTGCACTTCCCTTTGATATGGTATTCTGTATATCTGTTTGCTTTCTCAAATAAAAAGCATGTTCCAATTTTGCAAAATGAAATGATTCCTTCAGCAAAATTTTTGGTTTTCTTTCTAACAATGTCTAGTGTTTCCATTAAGACAAATCCTATGCTACTGACCTTAGAACAGTTAAATAAAAATACAAAAAACCTAATCTTAAACAAAACAAAGCACCTTGTTTATGAGGGACAAACAAGGGGTTGCAACCAACGCTGGAAAGCAGGACTGCCATCCCCATGACCAACGATAACCAGCATCGCCCACCAGAAGAATATGAAAAAGCAGAGCAACTCAGTTAAGGCAAAGCTCTGAGATTCCTGCTGCTGCTCAAAAGCAGAAGGACTCAGATTTCATAAAGCAGAAGCAAAAAAAAAAAAAAAAAAGGCACATGAGAAGGACTAATTGAAGTAGCTTTGTGGCTTTATGTCCAAGTCTCTGTCCTTTGCCTCTGTGCTTGGAGCTAGTCCTACCACAGATGGCACTTCCTTGGCCCTGAATCTGCACCAGGTCTCGGTGCTTCTTTCCCCTTAGGTAGTCTCTCCCTCCTTGGTCCACACTTAGTAGAGAAGAGTTTACTCCTTACACACCATTTTTTTTATTCTGTGGGGCTTAAGTCAAAATATTAAAAGTAGTTATGCAATTAATAATAAACAAAATTCTTGCCTAGACAAACTAGGCACATACACAATGAATGCTAGGTAAAGAAATGTCTGCCACAAAAATTTATAGTTTACAAATGTATTACTTATTAAAAGTATTCCCAAACCAAACTTACTCAACCAAAACAATCAGATTTCTCAATGTATACTTTTCATCCACTTTGAAAGATCTAAAAAGATCTTCTCAACAAGGCAGTCAGAAGGTTCCTCCTACCAAAATATGAGTTAAAAAAAAAAGATAGACTATCTAGTCTACATTGCACATCTAAATATATATTAAGCTATTATTTGGTTGGACGCATGGTGGTTCCAGACTATAAGCATTAGACTGCTAACCACAAGGTTGGTAGTTCGAGCCTAATAGCAGCTCCTCAGGAAAATGATGAGACTTTCTGTTTCCTCAAAGATTTCCAGTCTCAGAAACCCTATACAGGGTTGGTATGCGTAGGAAATGACTTGAGTGCACTTAATAACGACAATTGGTTACTTCTGATACCAGAATTCAGGAAGTGATTAATCTTTTATAAATAAAATTACTTCAAAATTAATTGATATTAATCATACCATGCCCACCTACATTTTCTGCTTCTGGGGTTCAATGAAAAGGAGCTATCATGCTTTTGAGTGCATGCTCTCATGCTGTCATCTGGGGGTGGGGGTGGGGGCTGGGAAACAACTTTATAACTGCTCAAATCTAAAGAAAGGGCCACAACCCACCAACCTCAGCAGCAGGGCCTCTTCAAGAAAGTGTCCCACTAACTACATTAAAAGTCATATTGTTGTTGGTACATGCTGTCAGGTCAATTTCAACTCATTAGCAACCCAGTGCAGGGTTTCCAAAGAGTGGCTAGTATGAGCTTTCTGCCAACCTTGCTGCTGAAACTGACCTTGCACACTAGCACATTAATCCATAGCACCACACCGACTCCAAAAATCTTAACTCCCCTCAAAATGTTTCCCCATTTCAATTCAAAATACCTCCCATTACTCAAAACACATTTTCAATCTGATGAACTTGACCTATACCTACGAATGCAGAGAATCAAAAGAGGCAACAAATCCTTACAGCAAGAAACATTCCCACCCCCTCCACACACAGAAATGGGCAACTTGGACATTGGATATACAAATGGGGAGGGGGGTCTACAAAGGCAAGAAGTGACTGGCTTGCAAGCTTTCAAGAGGGAACCTACATCCAGAGGGCCTGGAGGAAGGTAGAATCTCCAGTGAGTAGTATTCAATCTGTCTAGGTGGGGTTGATGCAATGAAATGCAGATGGGTCTCTTGTGATACAATATTGAATACTTGTTATCAGGACTGATTGTGAGGTTGGAAATGTAAAGGTGGACATTTTATAGCAAGGAGGGGAGTGATTAACTTTCAGTCTAGGAGCGGAGGCCCCTAGAACCATCAGGGGAGTAGAGCAGAGAGTGGGACCCTACCCAGAGAAGCAGTGATGCCTGAAATGGAGCCAGAGATGATGTGGAGCGATGGAGCAGCTGGAGACTTTGGATCCAGAGAGGGAGAGCGATTTTGTGCTGAAGACCTGGGGGGTACGGGGGGAAGGATTGTATGGAGGGGATTGTAACCATGGCAATAAGAGACAATATATGATAGAATGAATGTAAAACTAATGTACTCCCATGTAAACTATCACATAATTCACAAAAAAACATTAAAAAAAAAAAAAAGAGGGAACCTAGAGCTAGGGGGCATGGAGGAAGGCAGAATCACCAGTACTATCTAATCTGTCTAGGTGGAGCTGATGAAATGAAATACAGATGGGTTACTTGCGATACTGTAGTGAATAATGGTTATCAAGACGGACTGTAAGGGTTGGAAATGCAAAGGTAGACGTTTTGTAGCAAGGAAGGGAGTGATTATTTCTCTAGTCTAGCAGCAGAGGTGTCTGGGACCACCAACGGGGAAGAGCTGAGAGCGGGACCCTACCCAGAGAAGCAGGGATGCTTGAGATGGAGACAGAGACGATGACGTGGAGTGATGAAGCGGATGGGGACTTTGGATCCAGAGAGGGAAAGGGACTGTGGACCGAAGACTGGGGGTAGGGGTGGGGGTGGGGAGGAGGAAGCGTAGAGGATGGGTTTCTAGGATATACCCTTTGGTCGGAAGACAATGCATGGAGGGGATTGGAACCATGGCAATGAAATGATATATAATGGAATGAATGTAAAACTAAAGTTCTCTCATGTAAATTATCATATAATTCACAATAAAACATTTGCTATTAAAAAAAAAATCCTATACAGGGTTGCTATAGGTCGGAATTGACTTGATGGCACACAGTAGCAGTAGCCACTGGCAGGGGTATGTGTGATACCATTGCCACTGCTGGTCTACATAATAAATACTTTATAAAGAACATACTCCAGTGGCTATGGCTATTTTATGTAAGAAAAATCATTAAAGACCCTATATAAAAACTGCTTACTTTCTGAGCATGTAGTTTCACCATTAGTAACAACTTCAGACTCTAACTGAAGTCCATCAAGACAAACTGACAAGTCTCCTATTGTCTCTGTTGGCTCTTTGTCACCTACAAGTTGCAAAGTCACAACTACTTCTTCAACTGGAAGAGAATAAAATCACAGGAAAAAAAGTCAATTTTTTATCTTTAAGGCAACTTAACAGTTTAAAGCATAATCAAAATGCCACAAAAAAGTACATATGCGCTTAGGAATTGTTTTAATATACTTCACCCAACATTTGAGGCCTAGTATCAAAACACTAGATTCTAAAAGGTGAACAATATTTGCTAATGTTTAACAACCACAATGTAAAATACTGAACATCTTAATCATTTTATTACACTAATTTCTTCCTTGAAAGAGGATAAGTCCAAAAGTATTGCTGCAAAATCAGAAAAATGTTTATTATATAAGAATACCCAAATGTGCAGCTATTGTTTCTCAGCATATTCTCCATCTAGGTCTATGCATTTACAAAAGTGATGTTTCCATCTCTCTAACCCTTTCCCCCAAACTGTGTGTTCTTCCATTCACATCATTTCCAAATGGCAGTTTGGACACCCTTGAAGTACTCCAATCAGGTTTCTTTTAAATGTTGAGTTTTGTGAACAAAAATGAATCTGAAGGGGCAAGATCAGAACTATGGGACAGATGGCAGCCCAAAAAATTCTCATCTAACCAGTCCTTGATATCCTTGAAAAATAAGCAGGTACACTGTCATGTTGGAAAACAACTCCTCAACCGAACTTTCCTGGCCTTTTTCTCACCAATGCACTTTTCAATTTTCTTGAAACTTCTTACAATAAGCCCTGTCTTTTGAGAAAACCTACTAAGATTACCCTTTAGAATAAAACCAAAAATATAGACAGAACTTTCTGGGCTGACTTCTCTGCCTTGAATTTAATTAATTGGTCTAGCAGAACCTATTCAGAAGCTACTGTTTTGAGTAGACCTCAGTCCCTGGTTCTGTTGGTAAATCCAAAACTTGCCCTGGTTACGATTTAATCCATAAAATTGTCTTTAGTTTCAATCTTGCTTAAAAGACTGGTGGAAAGATCATCTATTTGAGCTAACTGATATTCATGCAATGCTTCTGGAAACCATTCAGCTGAAAACTTGCTGACACCAAGATACTCAGTTAAATTTGAAAATGCTGAACCAGGTGAGATCCCAACTTCAGTAGCTACTGCATCGGTGGTAGTTCTAGGGCATTCTCCTACCAGTCTGGACCTCAGCCACAGTTACTTCATTCATCGAAGTTTACTATCTTCCATCTCTTAGTTCATCTTTGAGGTCTTCCCAAACTTCCTTATATAGCTAACTCCAATAAAAACTTTTATGTGGGATAGCATAATCTTGCTGTAAAATGTAAATGATTTGGGAAGATGTTCACTTGAGTTTGGGAGAAAATTTGGTATGAGCCCTGACCTCAAAATTCTTTTATCCATGGCACAAAATGTATCTTTTTTTTGAAGCACCTTAATGAACTAAGACAAATGTATTACTGAAGGAATTTGTCTGTACTCATCCACTGATCACAGAGACATGTTTAAACACATTTTGTTTGGAATAAACCATGAAAGCACGAACTGGAACACAAGCAGCAATACTTTTTGATTTAACCTTATATAAAATGAGCCAAGTTAACAACCAAGAATATTTAGCAATATGTGCCTGAATAAATTATACTGAGTAAAATCACTAAATGAAAGAATAGATAATATCTCCTAAAAGAAAAAGAAAATTCTTAGGAGAATGTGCTAGATAATCAATGAGCGGAAAAAAAAAACATGTTAAAGCCATGATCTATTAAGTAAAACAGGTATATTTTTAAACGGCACACATTACATGCATATTACATATAAATAAAACCACAATAATCTAAAATAAGAAATTTTAAAAAGAAATTTGCCAAAACATTAACCATATTTATCTCTCTGACATGATATATTTTTTCTTTCATCTTTGCTCATTATTTTCAGTTTCCCATAATTGAGCATTACTTTAACAAATATGTATTTACTAGATAGATAATAATAAATACTTGTTTGACATACAAATCCTTCCAGAAAAACAAACAGTTAAGTGCAATTTCTAGTATTTTCACATACATACGTTTCATATTGTTTGACTTTAATGTTTCATAAATATCTAAGGCAGCACTTCCCAATAAAACATCAGATTTTAATGTCTGGTGACTCCATACACGAAAATGTAATTTACTCACAGGGGTGACGATACTAAAAGGGAAAAAGGGAATATTATTTTCATTAAGTATCACAATGAAAATTTATAATTAAGTTTCAATTCCCACTGTATGTTTTACTGTACAAACAATATTAGCCTAAATTCTACGATCATATGAAAACCTATCTGAATTTGACATACCAATATTTACTTGGTTATATTCATTTATAATTGAATTACCTGGGCAACTTCATGGATCCTTTATCAAAAAATGTAAAACTGCTCTGTGTGCTACAAACTATTGGAAAACTACTTTAACAGTAAAAGAGGGTGAATTTACAAACTAAATGCCAATTTTATGCTAATTACTGTATAAATCTTGATGTTTCATGCACATCACAGCATTTTAAGTAAAAACTGTAAAATAAACTTTTTTTTTCTTTTTGGTAAAGCAAATTCTGATTCACAGAGGTTAAGTAAACTGCCCAATGTCACATGACTAATAAACAGCAGAAGTAAAATTTGAACAAAGCCCTGTCATTAATATTTTATTAAAAATTGATTAACTACATGATCATTTGAGGAATATATTAGGTACACTGAATTTTATACTTATATAGGCAAAATATCTAGGACAATTTGTCAACCAAATAAAGACTCACATCTTGCTAAATGGCAATAAATATTCAAACTTTGGGAAACTTACCTTTAAATAAACAAACAATTTTAGTCAATTAAAACATTAGAATAGCTATATCATCTACCATAGGTTCAATAATTAAATGCTATAACAACTTTAGAAATGTATGTTTGAATTTCTGTATATATCATCTCTAAAGCACAATCAAATAATGAGAAGAAACAGGTTCCTCCTTAGACATTAACTATGCTTTTTCACCCCCCACTCCCATCAAATTCCCATCACCATTTTAACAGTCACAGGTATTTAAACCAAAATTTAAAATATTTTGAACTTATTGCAGTGTTTTCTTTGGTAAAATGTATTTATTCTCTTTTCAGATGCTGTTTCAGAAAAGTTCATAGTATATACTGTATTAAGATAGTATTTCTCATTTTTCAGTTGGAGAATAGGTACACAAAATGATAAATTTATTTTTCCTTTCACAATGGGAGTGGGTATATAAAGTATGCTGCCTAAGAAGGTCAATTAAAATACAGAACAGCATTCAGAAAAGCCTGCTATTCAACAAAGGAAGCTGTGGTAAATTTGCATGCCACAATGCTACAACTTAAAAATTCAGGAGAACAGCTTGATCTTAACAGTACTACCAGATGAGGCTAAGAGAAGAGTTTAATGTCATTAACAGCTTAGGAGCTTCAATGCTCATATCAAGTGAGCAAATATAGATGTTGGTAATTAGATGAGCACTTAAGTCTAGTATTTAGCTGAATATCTCTGGCCATTATGAAGACTGTAACCATTATAAAATTAACTTACTCTTTCAAATAAATTTCACTTGCATATTGGTTAGAATCATAATCTCTAATGAATCACTAATAAAAAACAGAATGCTTAAGAAAAATTACTACTGAAACAACTACTACAGATAAGCATCAATATAAGGGTAATCCTGTAAATGAGTCTCAAGATTTTCAGTAAATTCTTAAATTTCATTCATTTTCAGAAAAGTATCATGCTGTTGTTAGGTACAATTGAGTAGGCTCCAATTAATAGAGACAGAAAGAAACACTGCCTGGTCCTATGCCATGCTCACAATTGTTGTGCTTGAATCCACTGTTGCTGCCACTGTGTCAACCCATCTTGTTAGGGGTCTTCTTTTTTTCCATTGACCCTGCACTTTATCAAGCATGATATCCTTGTATAGGGATTGATCCTTCCTGAAAGCAAGTCCAAAGTTCGAGTGACAAAGTCTCACTATGATCGCTTTCAAGAAGCAATCCTGTCATACTTCTTCCAAAATAGATTTGTTCTTCTGGCAGTCCATGGTACTTTCAACATTCTTTGTCAACACCATAATTCAAATGCATTGATTCCACTACGGTCTTCTTCTAGCTTTCACAAGCATATGAAAATATGGGTTGGCTCCAGTGCATCTTAGTCCTCAAAGTGACATCTTTGCCCTTTAACACTTTAAATAGGTCTTTTGCAGCAAATTTGCCTAATGCAATACATTGTTTGATTTCTTGACTGCTGCTTCCATGAACGTTGATTGTGAATTCAAGTAAAATGAAATCTTTGACAACTGCAATTTTTCTTCATTTAAAAGGATGTTACTTACTCACTGGTACAATTTTGAGGATTTTTGTTTTATTTACATTGAGATGCAATGTATACTGAAAACTGTAATCTTTGATCTTCATGAGTAAGGACTTCAAGTCCTCTTCACTTTCAATAAGCAAGGTGTGTCATCTGCCTATAACAGACTGTTGATGAGTCTTCCTCCAATTCTGATGCCTCATTCTTCTTCATATAATCTAGTTTCTCGGATCATTTGTTCAGCATACAGACTGAATTAGTAATAGATGACAACCCTGATGCAAAACTTCCCTGATTTTCATGTCACATGAAAATAAAATTTTGTTGAAAAATAATTCAAATAAGGTTTCAGCAGTACATTGACAGAGAGCTGCCAGATATACCCCCTTGTTCTATTCTAACACCTGCTTTTCAGTCTATGTACAGGTCTCTTGTGAACACAATTAAGTGTTCTGGAATATTCAATCTTCGCAATGTTATCCATAACTTGTTAGGATCCACATAGCCCAATGCCTCTGCATAGTCAATAAACTACAAGTAAACATTTTTCTCGTATTCTCTGCTTGTCAAGATTCATCTGGCAGCAGCAATGATATCCCTAATTCTACGTCCTCTTCTGAATACAACTAGAATTTCCGGCAATTCCTTGTTAATGTACTGCTACAAACATTTTAAAATTATCTTCAGCAAAATTTTACTTAATTGTGACATTAATGATATAGTTCCAAGATTTCTATATTCCACTGGGTCACCTTCCTTTGGAATGAACACAGATATATCAAATTTCTAATTGGTTGGCCAAGTAGCTGTATTCAAAATTTTTTTGGCACAGATGAAAAAGTACCTCCAGCACTGCATCATTTTCCAGAAACATTTCAATTTGCATTCTGTCAATTCCTGGAAGATTGTTTTTTGCCAATGCCTTTGGGCAGCCTGTTGACTTCCCCCTTTGACACCATTGGTTCTTGATCACATGCTACCTTTTGAAATGATTGAACAGTAACTCTTTTTGGTACAGTAACTCATGTATTCCTTCCATCTTCTTTAATATTATAAATCAAGGCTTGACTTTTTTCTTCAGTTCTTTCAGCTTGAGAAATGCTGAGCACAAGTGTTCTTGCTTTTTGGTGTTCTGATTCTAGGTATTTGCACATTCCTTTATTATACTTTGTCTTCTCAAGCTTCCCTTTTGAAACTTTCTATTCAGCTCTTTTATATCATGATTTCTGCCAATCATTTTAGCATCTCTACAATTCAAAATCAAGTTTAAGAATGTCTTCTGACATTCATATTGGTCTTTTTTCCTGTCTTTTTAATGATTTTTTGCATCATAAAAACATAAAGATGTCCCTAGAACTTCAACATCCACATTAAAGAATATAAAAAGCCTATCTAAATTTTTAAGAATTAATAATATCAATGTCAGCAGTTTATGTGAAAAAAAAAAGCTTATAACTTCAGATTTCTCATTTCACAATTTAAAAACAAAACATTTTTTGTAAGTCAACTGGCTTCTTTCTGTAAGAGAAATAAATGCAAGAATTATAACTATCAGGTAATGAAAGCAATTTACGTTTTGATCTACATTTTAATATACATTTGGTCCTCAAACCAAACATACTATGTTATTTTTAAAACTATTTATTATTAATGTTTTTCTTCAACTTAAGATTAAAAAGCTGAAATTAGTCTATAATTACCTTCAACAAATGTGTAATATCTTAGGTTACAATACCAACATTTGGAATTTTTTCAGTTAAATGTTAAAATTGAGATATATTCTACTTCCAAGAAGTCATACTACAGAGATAGATGCAAACACAAACATACAAAGATATATGCCACCCACACCCACACACACACAAAAAAAACACACCAAACAAACCCCAAAACCAGATATAAAACCAAAAAACCAGATATATGCCTAGGGAAGTCTGGTGTGGTGCTATAGGATAACCATTGGGCCACAAGGTTGGTTTGAACAGCAAGGTTCAGTGGTTCAAACCCACCTATAGCTCCTTGGAAACTCTATAAAGGGTCATGATGTGTTGGAACCAACTTGACTGCACTTAACAAAAATAACAATAAAAAAACCAAGTAACAAATCAATGTTGTTACTATTGGTAAGTATCCATGAGTTGGTTCTGAATCACAGCAACCCTATATGGGTTTTCTGAGGCTTTAAATCTTAGTGGGAGCAGAAACTCTCATTTTTCTCCCACAGGGTGGCTGTTGGGCTCAAACTGTAAAGCTAGTGGTTGGCAGTCCATGCTTATTCGACAGAACCACCATGCTCCCAAAAAGACAATGTTGTTAAGTTGTTAAGTACCATCCAGTCAGTTCCGACCCACAGCTACCCTGTGTATAGGGCTTCCAAGGAGTGGCTGATGAGTTTGAACCACCGACAAGGTCGGTGGTTCAAACCAACCAATCGCTTATCCTACAGTGCCATGCCAGGAGTCTAATACAGCTAAAACAAATGCAGGAATTCTACGTAACAATATATAAGTGCTGCTAGACCTACATACATCTAGCTGGAGAGATGCCCATGATACAACAGTTAAGAATAAAAAAGTTGAGAATGAAATGTCTAATTGTCTTATTAAAAAAAAACATCCTTATCTAAATTTGTATGGACATTGTAATTTACAAAACAAAAGCACTATTTTAAAAAATTAAGGAAACTACTTAACACCACATAATCCAATCCCAAGCTAAGACTTTTTCTGGATCTGTGACCATGGTACTCCTAGCTGTTGTTCAGTGGCAACAGTGAAACTACCACCTCCCAAACTGTAGAAGACAAAGAAAAGGAAACATTAGAAGAACAGAGAAGGAAATATCTCAAGAGAAACAAAAAGGAGGACTAGAAGAAAGAAAGCTAGAAACAAGGAAAAAGAAAGAATAAATAAATAAAAGCAAGTAATGAAAATTTTCAAAAGATGTGTTTTTGGTGACTTAGCAAAATAAACTTCAGAAAATACTGTCAAACTTACACTGTGATGGGTTGCTTCCATTTGGGACTATTTGTATTGTTACATTTTTCTGTCTTCTTTGACTGTCCATCTACTATGACTTCCACATAAGGACTTGGTCCAAACCAATTCTTCTTATTTTCTTTGAGTTTTGCTGAAATGACTATTTAAAGGAAAAGAAAAACATTTGAATAACTGAGAATTTAATTCAGCCTTTAAATCTAAATATCTTCAGATTACATAAAATAGTATTCCTTTTGCTCAGAGCAGCTATGCTATAAAACATTTACTAATTCTATTCAGTCATGATCCCCATACCATCTACCTAAATAAATCCCCAACAGCAGAACACCACTGCCAGTACCAACAGCCCCAGTACCAACCACTCAACTGCCAATTTGTCACTGTGGGGGACTGCGTGTTGCTTTCATACTGGAAGCTATGCAACCAGTATTTTAAATACCAGTAGTGACACACATGTAGACAGGTTCAGCTGAGCTTTCAGACGAACAATAGGAAGAATGGGAGAAGGACTACTACTGAAAATGTAGCCACTGAAAACCTTATGAATAAAAACAAAACAAAACCTTACGAATAGCAGTGGAAAACTGTCAGCACCTAAATACTGAAACATTATGAATAGCACCAGGTTATAGTCAGATCTAGTACCAGGAGATGAGCCACTCAGGAAGGAAGGCACACAAAGTATGACTGGGGAGGAGCTGAAAACTGAAAGCAGAATCGACTGTGATGACTGGAATGGAGTAAATCTGTTGTTGTTGGGTGCTACTGAGTCACTATCAACTCATAACAACCTGATGTACAACAGAACAAAACACTTCCCAATCATGGGCCACCCTCACAATCGTTGCTATGCCTGACCCCATCACTGCTGCCACTGTGCCAATCCATCTAACTGATCTTCCTCTTTTTCTCCAACCCTCCACTTTACCAAAAATGATATGCTTCTCCAAGGACTGGCCCCCTACTGACAATATATCTGAAGCATGAGAAACTAAGTCTGGCCATCCTGGATTCCAAAGAGCACTCTGGCTGCACTTCTTCTAACACAGATCTGCTTGTTCTTTGGTAGTCTATGGTATTTTCATTATTCTCCTCCAACACCGTAAGTCAAATGCAACAATTCTTCTATGGTCTTCCTTATTCACTGTCCAA